TTGGATAGATCACATGTTGTGATTCATTGACAGTCATACCTTCTGCTGTTCAACATAATGATGACTGGTAGATAATTAGTTATTAGTGCTACTGCGTCTTAATTTTAGAAAGTGCAAATCTGCTTATGAATTATAAAAATTAGTAAGACTGTTAAAGTTCAAATGAAATATTTAGTTCTGCAATTAGTGGATTTGTGCTTGAGTGGTCTGGTGCCCACCACTGTGGTTCAGAAACATAAAGTTGATGTTTGGATCCATCAGAACATCAGATCTCTGTTCAGAACCACAGAACCTGGTTCCTGTGGTTCTGGTTCTGTCACAGGTCAGGTTGGACCTCAGGTGTTTTAAGAAGAAGCAGATCTTAGATCTTATTCCTGAACCTTTTTATTCAACAATTCATTTACTTTGTTGTTTTTATTAAAGAAATAAAAACAGAACCGGGTCGCTTTAGAACCAGGACCAAAGCCCAGCTAGGTAGTTAGACTTCCTGCTGGACCCAGGACTGAGCTGTGGTCTCAGACCCAGCAGGAGGTTCTGTTGGGTCTCTAAACCGGGTCTGTGCTTTCAGGCGCCGTCTGTCCGAGCACCTGGCCCAGGCCCCCACCACCTTCAGACGGGACCCTGAAGACCCGTCAGCCGTGGCCCTGAAGGAGCCGTGGGAGGAGAAGGTCCGGTAGGTTCCTGAGCCCTGAGTACAGACTGCCAGGCAGCAGGTGTCCCTCAGGACTCAGGACAGTAAAGTTGTGACCCGTGTGCCTGCAGGAGGATCAGGGAGGGCTCGCCGTACGGTCACCTGCCCACCTGGAGGCTGCTGTCCGTCATCGTCAAGTGTGGAGACGACCTGAGGCAGGAGCTGCTGGCCTTCCAGGTGCTGCAGCAGCTGCAGGTACTGATGCTCCGCCCCTGTCTCTGATCACTCACCTGACACGGTTCTGTCTGTCCTGTCTCTGTCCTGTCTTTGACCTGTCTCCGTCCTGTCTCTGACCTGTCTCTGACTTGTCTCTGTCTCTGTCCTGTCTCTGACCTGTCTCTGACTTGTCTCTGTCTCTGTCCTGTCTCTGTCCTGTCTCTGACCTGTCTCTGTCCTGTCTCCGACCTGTCTCTGTCCTGTCTCTGACCTGTCTCTGTCCTGTCTCCGACCTGTCTCTGTCCTGTCTCTGACCTATCTCCGTCCTGTCTCTGTCCTGTCTTTGACCTGTCCCTGACTTGTTTTTGTCTTGTCTCTGTCCTGTCTCTGACCTGTCTCCGTCCTGTCTCCGACCTGTCTCCGTCCTGTCTCCGTCCTGTCTCTGACCTGTCTCCGTCCTGTCTCTGACCTGTCTCCGTCCTGTCTCTGA